CTTTCTATATCTTAATCTTGTATATTATTGAGGGATTAGTGTTGTAATTAATGTTTTAACGCTTGATATATATAAATCTTGTTTAATCAATGATTTGTGTGGTTTAATGCTTCCAATTGATCATTTCATTCTATTCATATGTCTATGTATGCTAGAATTGATGTTCATGTTCTTGTCTCTAGATTTTGTGTTGTTGATGCATGTATATGTGTATTGATGCCATGGATTTAGAGATTGTCAAAACATTGTGCTTAAAAGAATGCTTTTGCGATTCTCTTGATGGTTCATGCTTATTTTTTGATGGATTGTGCCTCTCCCCTAGTTTATTTTCATGCTAGTAGTGTAGATGTAGTGTAGTTGTAGTGTAGTATTAAATGGGAGGACAATCTATACTTGTTGTTTGATGATCCAAGCTTTTGAATGCAATTAGCATTTGTCTCTAATCTTGTGTTGTATTTGGATTGTGAGCCTAATGAAATGATTAATGACTTGTTTTGATTTGTTGTACCTTTCACATGTTGTTTAGACAATATATGTTTTATTACTTAGATATATTGTGCCTTTCACATGATGTTTAGACAATACATGCTTAACTAGTCATCCTTACTTGTTAAATCAACCAAATACACACACACCAATATTGCAACATCCTAATTTCCCTCATTAATCACTTGTCAATAATATAGAAATGCATTACTTGGTGGTGATCTCTAAATCCCAAGACTCTTCTCTCTCTTACTTACTCTTAATTGCACTCTTTTGTTATTACTTAGTTTAATCTAGTTGTTCTTAATCAACCTACCAACCAATTGTTTGATCACTAGACCTACTAACCCTAATAGCGATTCCACAATCAACTCCGACATTGCTCAATCCCCATAATCCCTTGAGACGATCCCTACTCACTCTTGCTATGTTAGTAGTAGTGTTGGTAGTGGTTTTTTTATAAATTTAAACTTGACCCAAAAAGGCTTTCCTTGAACCGCACATTCACTACATCAATTTTGGCGTGTAGGAACGGCTTATCGCTCGTCAAAGATGAAGCCCAGCCTGTGGAGGGCCATGCAAAAGAGACAGCCAATGATGATGAAGTAGTCGGAGGTACGCTTGATCATGTTATGCACCAATTGCTTTCACAGATGAGGATCTTCAGTTGGGTTCAAAGCCGCATAATTGTCCTCTCTTCGTTTCCAGTTACATAAAAGAACAAAAAGTTACTCGAATTCTTGTTGATAGTGGATCAGCGGTGAATCTCATGCCAAAATTTACGATGAAAAATCTCTGCATCACAGTCGATGAGTTATTTCATAGCCGTCTTATTATTCAAGGTTTTAACCAAGGAGGACAGAGAGCTATTGGCATTATTTGGGCGAAGCTAACTATTGGCGAGCTCCAAGCTGAAACCTTATCCACGTTATTGATGTAAAGACTATTGGGAAACGTGCAAGTTTTAAAAACTTTATGAGAGATTTTCATACATAAATCTTGATTCATCACATAGAGACAAGTTTTATGCAAAAATAAAATATGATGTATCATTCAATTAATAGATTGAATACTTACATTAAGGTTTGAGTAAACCTTAGATCTCTCATCTAAAGTAAATGTTCTCACTTATTGTAAATCCCTTTCCTAGATACCTTCTCCTTGGCTCTCCATCTTCTTGGTAATAGTTTTGCTTTTAGGAATCACCCATAAGCCCCCATGAATGACCTTGGAAAATTAGGCTTGTGGGAACCTCCATTAGATGAGAAAGCAAACCCTAAAATCTAGAGATAGAAAAAATATATATTCATTTTTCTTTTCTTCCAAAAGTCTCTCCTAAAATACACATGAACCCATGTACATATAGGTAACATAAAAATAAGAAAAGGAAACAATAAATCCTCGGCAACATAAAAATAAGAAAAGGAAACAATAAATCCTCGGCAACATAAAAATAAGAAAAGGAAACAATAAATCCTTCTCCATCTCTAATTCACATATCTCAAATCCAATAGGATTCCAATATCAAGTTGGGCTATGAGTGAGAATCCTATTGGGCTTATTATTTTCTTGGCTATAATGAATTAATAATTGGCCCGGTCCTTTGACCCACTTAAATTAATTCATGAATTAATTTCTACTCCACTAAAAGAAATTAATTGAACTCCAATTAAATAATAAATAATCTCTAAGTCAATGTTGCACTTTGACCCCTCTATGCATAATTAGTTATCAGATAAATAAAGCCATCAATCCGACTACTTAATTAATATATTTATTTTGGTACCTTTGATTATTTCTGGCTTGATCACAATAAAACATTTGTTTGACAAAAATAATAATTTAAATAAATAAATATATAATAAATCATTTTATCTAAAAACACAAGAAGACCTTCGAATTTACTTTGTGATCAACCATAATCAATACAAAATAAATACAAGTAGTAATGATGCAAATATTGAAAATATAACCCTATAACTATTAATTACATAATTACCCAAAGTGCCGGTCTAAGGATTCCAAAAATTCCACCGAACAAATCAAAGTAATTACTAATTAATAGAAGAGTCTATACTTCTCTTATGCTTAAAAGTCAAATGCCATGACGGTGATAGGGAGCAATTGCATACGACGACTCTTGCAATATATTTCAACCTAAAGCGAATCCAGTTCAAGTCTTAATTAATTTTGAGTCCATCCATAATTACCAACTACAACAATTTATGATTACTATTTATATTCATGTATTGATCACCATCACATACTTATATAAATATCTCTTGTAATCAAGTGAACACTATTAATTCCATAATGAATCGAAACATAATACATTAAATTCACCAATTGTATAAAGCATAAATATTTCAAATACGTCAGGAATATATGTCACTTTAATCCAAATAGGAATTCGCTATACCGGGGCATATAAATCCCAACAAAGACGTCCAACAATTTGTTATTGGGAAGGCCTTGGATACATAGTAATGGCGTCATTCCATCGACTATTTATCAGTGCTTCAATTTCTACAATAATGTCGTACAAACGGTTGTGGCGGACCATAAACCATTTACAGAAGCAGAATCTCATTTTGTCGATGCCAAGTTTGTAATACCCCTAGTTTTCAAAAGGATAGAATTGAAAATTTTATTTTATTTTTCATTGATTAATTGATTTAGTTATGTGACTAAGTTTTTTTTTAAGTGATTAATTGTGTTTGCTTAATTGATTTAATTAATTATGATTGCTTAATTGATTTATTTAATTTTTGTGTGTATTTAATTTACATGTTAATTGAGATTGTTTTAATTATATCATTTGAATTTATTTAATTATTTTATTTAATTAATGTAATATTTATTTATTTTCTGTATGGTAACTTAGGGTTACAGTTATAATTTTTGGCTTATAATTCACGTATAGGTGAGCCGCTGTGGGTTAGAACTAAGATAGTTTCATGGGCCGATTGGGATGGGGATTAGGGCTTAATCTCTGATTATTCGTGGACTAGAGTATTAATATACACCTATAAATATAAAGTAATACATGGTTTAGGATTTGGAGAACAGAATAAACGTACGTTCTGTAAACCACAAACAGATCCCTAAATTGGTAGTGAAAACCAGAGAGATACAAAGAGAACCGGAGTGGGAGTTTGGGTGGTTCACAAAACAGAATCAAGGAAGGAAGTTTGGTGTGTGTTACTGGACTGCAGTAGGAGCAGCAAGGGTGGTTTAACACTTAGAGATGTAGAATTAGCTTTGCAAGTTTGAGTCAGACCGTCCCTAATATATTATTTTAATTATATATTTTAATATATTATTGTATTAGGGATGGTTAGGACCGTCCCTAATACATTATTTTTAATTATATATTTTCATATATTGTATTAGGGACGGTCAGACCGTCCCTAATAGATTAATTTAATTATATATTTTAATATATTATTGTATTAGGGACGGTCAGGACCGTCCCTAATACATTATTTTAATTATAAATTTTAATATATTAATGTATTAGGGACGGTCAGACCGTCCCTAATACATTAATTTAATTATATATTTTAATATATTATTGTATTAGGGACAGTCAGGACCGTCCCTAATACATTATTTTAATTATATATTTTAATATATTATTGTATTAGGGACGGTCAGGACCGTCCCTAATACATTATTTTTAATTATATATTTTCATATATTGTATTAGGGACGGTCAGACCGTCCCTAATACATTAATTTAATTATATATTTTAATATATTATTGTAGTAGGGACGGTCAGGACCGTCCCTAATACATTATTTATAATTATAATTATTATATTAAACCGTCTATATATATATATATATATATATTGTATGCTTAATTTGTGAATTTAACCATTCCGGATACATACATACAAAACATATACAAAATAGATCCACAATAACATTCAAAAAAATATTACTATCCATAGAATAAAATCAATCCACAATATATAGATTCAAGATCCATAAAATATAAAATCTCTAGTTTTCTAAACAAAAACTAAAACCATGTGGTAGCACAAAAAATTGTTCCATCCTCTTCAAGATCCATTATTCATTCTGTTGGTGGTTGTGGTGGTGCTTGCTGGTGAGACCATGTTGGTGGCGGCAGCTGATATTGCCATCTTGTTGTTGGTGGCGGCTGCTGAAAATACAAGTCTGCTGGAGCTGGCGGTGGTTGTTGATGCCAATTTGGTGCGGTTTGCTGCTGTTGGGAATCTGATGGAGACTGTTGTTGGTGGAACCATGGTGGCGACTGCTGCTGCTGTTGGAATTGGAGGAACCATGGTGGCGGCTGCTGCTGCTGCTGCTGATATTGGAGGAACCATGGTGGCGGCTGTTGTTGGTACTGCTCAAGCATCTTCTCAAGTTTTTCTATTTTTTCCGCCATTTGTACACTTCTTTCTTCAGCAATTTCAGCCCTTTTCCTAGAAGCCTCATCATATGATGAAGAGGCACGCTGACGCTTTGGAGCCACGAAACCATGTCCAAATCCACGGCAATATCCCTTCCTTATGCCTAGTTGGTTTTGTACTATCTCAACATCATTTATGGATGGACTCGTACCATCAGAATTTTGAGAATTTTGTGCAGCCTTTTCTTTCATTGCATCCTGCAAAATATTTAAGTTCGCTATCAAATTAAAAAAATATGGCATAGGAATAAATCAAATAATAACAGAAAATGTAATCACACATGCACCAGCACATAAAAATAGAGAGATTAAAGTGATTCGGTTTATAACATGCGCTCATACAGTAAACAATGGCATTTCTTGTATGCCATTTCTTGTAAAAATCCTAATGGTGGGCTCTGGGGCCATAGTGAAGTTCCAATTTTGTTTTTCCAGTCTTTTTGTGCTCTGGAGTTGTTTGGTAAAATAAAAGAATAAGCGTAATGTTTTATATTAGCATAACCAAAAAAAAAAAAAAAAAAAAAGAAGGTATTTGAATGAGTGCATTTGGGAGTCCATGTATTGACCTTACAAATCTGAAAAAGATGAACATCAACCTATATATATTTTTCTAATAAGCTAAAAAAAGCTTTTAGCTCGTCATATGAATATATATATATATATATATATATATATATATATATATATATAAATACGTTAATTTAATAATAAACTTAGAATCTCCTATCACTATTAATGATAATAAAGTCAATCGTGCAAACACAATATGGTTGGAGACATACGACCTATAAGCTCCAAGAGTCACCAAAATAATTGAGTCGACTTCAAGATCTTCATGTCAACTTGATTTTAGAAGCTAAACCCATCAACCTAATTATGATAAGGTTGGTTTAGGAAAGACAGACCCAATGACTTATGGATTGAATTGAACTTAAGTTTTCCACTCTTTCTATCAAGGTCCCAAGGTTTGATCGAGCAGTTTTGCCCCAACATGAATTCAGTTTGACCTTTAGTAGAAACATTGATTCATATAAATGAAATGATTATATCTACTGCAAAAAAGCCACTCTGGGCGTCTGAAATGACAACTTGACATGAATGGAATCCATTATTGAGCTGCCCAAATTTTAAGTTGATGTGTAATGTGAATAACATATAATAGAGTCCACAACTTCCGATTCCGAGTGCAGAGACGCAGATCAAAGAGGAGCAAGGAATTAACCCTGTGAGTCTCTCATCTCTCTCTAAAATGTGTATGTGTGCGTATGTATATAATTTTCTGATAGATGCAATTCCAAAAAGTGTATGTGTGTGTATATATATAATTTCACATAGATATATAGGTTAAAATGTCATAATAGTTGAGGTTACAGACTCACAGAGTAGTTGAAACTGCAGAGCAAATTAATCAAGAATATATTTTGTGTGCCACTTCTCAGAATATGCAAGACCAGTGATGTATATATAAACTCACATATGCGCATAAATAGAAGAAATTTTGATAGTTGAGATTATTGAGTGCAGATGAATCTACAGAGCAAATTAATCAATTTAGAGTTTTTATAATCTCAATTTTGTAGTCCGAAGAAAAGGAAAAGAAAGAATAAGGTAGTTAACCTGATACAAGGCTAGAACAAGTTGTAGATTGTCTTTTCTGTAGTGCTTGGAATGAGAATGAAATCCCATTTGTAGGAGTGACATGTCTAGAAATAGTTGAAGTTATTGCTAATGAGATAGGAGCGAATAGACTGGGAATAAGGCTATCTCCCTTTGCAGATTTTATGGAATCCGGAGACTCAAATCCAGAGGCTCTTGGCCTCTATATGGCTGAATCATTGAATAAATATGGCAGTCTCTACTATCACATGGTTGAGCCTAGGGTGAAAACTCGAGGAGAAATATGTGATCTAAATTCAGCTCCTCCCTCTCTGTCATCTAAATTCAGCTCTCAAAAAGAAGAGAAACCAGCCAGGAACACCAGGCAATTCCAATCTTTATGAATTTAGGGGTCCTACAAAGGAGATTTGATATCTCATAAAATGCAGTTAATTTAGATTTGAAGATCTAAAATAATGTCTGAAAAATATTTGATGATCTAATAATGTCATAGGTAAACATATTGATGTAATAGGTAAATAGTGATTCTCTACTATCCCAAAACTAAGCTATTAAACTTATAACAATAAATCAGATTTTGATTTCTTGTCTATTTAATTCAAGAAATTAACTAATAAAATATAACATGACGCTCCAAGAGTATCTAGGACAGCTTTTACTGAAGTTGTGTGTGTGTGTGTGTGTGAGAGAGAACAAATACAGCTCAGGATATAGTGGGATGACAACAGGATCTGTAGCTGACCCCATCTAAATAGAGGAATATGCTTTATATATAAGATAACCTTCCTACAGGAGCTAATCGATAAAGTAGCTTGAAGCCTTCATATCACATAATTAAACTAACTAAAAGGAAGAGAATAAAAAAGGGAACAACAATACTTACCAAAAAAAAGAGGTCACATTCATCTTTTCTTTAACACTCCTACAAATGGGATTTTATGTTTTTGGTGGATTTTCAAAGTTACAACCACCCAAACATAATAAAAGAGTACGGATAATTATATATTATATATATGTGCAACCCCACATAAAGCTTATGACATTAAAGTGCTTGCTTCATGAAAAATCACTTCTCACTTTCTCTACATATATATTTAGATAATCATAAAACATAAAAGTGTGTATATATATATATATGTAACAACCACACATAAACCTTATGCATAAAAGGGCTGCTTCATGGAAAATCACCTCACTTTCTCCACACCCCCACACACAAACAGACAGACAGACAGATATATTCATATATATATATATAAATGGGTCACTACTTGTTAGAGCAAAGTGAGGCTTCCATTTACAAGCTATTCCATTCTCTCTCTTCTCTCTCCTGCTATAGGTATAATTTTCAGTCACAACCAAGATTGACGAAACCCTAATTAAAATTAATCTTTACTCTAAACAAGTTTTAATTCAAGAAACCCCGATTAATGGACTGATTCATTAATTTTCATGATACATCCAAAGATCTCATGTATGTATTTAGTAGAAGTGGAAATTTTAAAGAATGTGAGTCAAGACAGAGATGGTGAGGGGTTTCTAGACTTGAAGTATCTTGGAGTTATGGAATGTAAGGGGATAGAACATTTATTTGGCATGAGTTGTTATTAAATCTCCAGATTTCTACCCTAGATATAAGACACATATTTGAACTATGCAAAACAGATAAATTACAAATCCAACACAATCAATCAATGTGGACAATATTATGAGATCCAAATTTCATAATCTAACATGCTAGCTTATAGTTAACTTACAAAATTCCTCTTAGCTTTCTCATGTGCCCATCCACCTTGTTCCTTAAAATGTGTGTCCTTGTACAAACGAATAGCAGGATCCTCTTCCCTTTCACCATCCTCATCTTCTTGGCTCTGCCTTTCTTTGAGTTTGACCTATAGTACAAAGTAATAGTGACTATTAGACAAATATATGGTTTAGAACGTAGAATATAAAATAAAAAATTTATAATTATTGTTTCGTATATTACGCACATAATCATCGTAACGTCTGACGAAGGACATTGATCTAGAATAATGTGGAACCTCATTCTTGGAACGATTTTCTTTGTTTTTTGCACTTATTTCCTAAGTAGTAATTCAAACAATATTACAAGTTAAGAAACCTAAATAACTAGTGAATGAAGTTATTATATTAAATAGTAAAAACAAGTGGTTAAGAAATTGAACCTGAAATTTAGGTGACATCCACGTATCACACAATTTTTCCCAAACAGCATTACCAATACCATTGTAAGGATGGCGGCGTGCATTCTCAATCGGAAGATGCTCTTCAAAATGACACTTCAATTTATATCTATATTTCCTCAACGCGCTGGAAATTCCCATATTAACTCGCTTAAAATCAATGTCATTTGCGTATGCATCCACTCCAATGACCTCCTTTATAATGTAAAATTAAAGTAAGCTATAATTTGTAACCAATTGGACCAGTAATCTCTGATTTTTTTTTACCAAAACAAGCATTAAATGATGGTTATCATTACCTTCAAATGGTCATAGCAGACCTCTTTCTCAAAATCTGGAACATCCCTCCACGTTTTATACTTTAGAAGGGCTTCGGTATCTCGTGTATTAATGCCAACCTCAGCCGTCCATAATTTGTTATTTAAACCAACAGGTTTAATATAACCCTCTCCAAACTCAACTGGAACTGGCCAATTGTTTTCATTAATTTTGTGCAAGGCTTCATTTTTTGCTCTTCCACGCCCTTTTCGTATCGGACCTGAAAAAAAAATTTATCATCTTAATTAAAGCGTAGGCATTTTACAAAAAAACTTATGGTTAATCAATGATGAAGCATAATTACCTCCACTTGGTTGTGGCCCTATCTGCTCATTACTACCATCACCTTCCATTCTTTCATTTGTTGAATTCCTATCTTCACCTAATCCACTTGGTTGTGTAGGAGGTGAACTTGTAGATGGTTGCTCAGTTTCAGCCCTGCGGGACCTTAAAACTCTACGCATCGGTTCCTCGGAGGTGTCCATAATTTAGTTTACAAGCTGATATGAAGAATCAAGTGAAATTAAATCAAAATAAACAAGCATATGCAAAATATATTCTGAGTCATCATTTCATATTTACATAATTCCATTGAATAAAAAATTCAATAATTAGAGGCAATATAACTGAATAGATCACATTAAATATAATCATAAACCCAAAAAAAAAAGTAAATGCTCAAATATAACAATTAATTTAGTCAACCAAATCAAAGCTGTAAGTTAATGAAGCACAGAAACAACACTTAAAGAGAAATTTAAACAAAAAGTAACTCAAAAGATAAAGCTCGGTAATATAATTCAGCTGGTCACTTAAAGTATTAATCATAAAACAATAAAATGAGGTATATGCTCAAGAATAAAAAGCTTCACATGTCATCCATATCAGTATCATCTTCAGACATTAATTCTGGTTCCTCATCTGAACTATATTGAATGTCAAGAGCTTCATCATTCTCAACATCCCAAAAGTCATCATTAATGGCTGCTTCACCCCTACATTTTTGAATCATTTCAGCATCAAGAGTTTCACCCTCCAAATCGTCCCTGTTCAAAGGGAATGGATCCATGTCCAAGTCCGCTTCAACAACTCCATCCACGATGCTTGGTTCGCTCTCTTGGTATGTTGTAGTGTTGAGCATTTCATCATGTACTCCTGTTTCACCCTCTTTTTCAGGTACATCAAACGAGCTTCTACTTGTTATATCTTGAACTACCTCCCACGTCCCTTGTAATTTGTTGTCTTTGACATAGAAGCATTGCAATGCTTAATTTGCTAACACAAACGGCTGATTTTTGTACGCTCTACTGGCTACATTTACACTTATGAAATAGGTATCTTTATGTACACCGGTACCAATCCTAACATCGAACCAATCACATTTGAAAAGAAAAATTTTTCTACCCAGAGGATATCTTAACTCAATGATATCTGTTAGGGCACCATAGTAATCTTGATCTTCTCCTTTCACTAACACGCCACTATTCTGTGTTCGTCGATTTTGCTCCCTTTCCTTAGTATGGAACCTAATCCCATTTACAATACACGCGGAATATCGACTTACTAGACATTGAGGTCCACACGCTAATGAATACAGATCATCACAAGTTGTTTCCTTTTGATGATGACGCATTTCCTTTATCTATTAAAAGAAGTGTAGTGTTAAATAAATGAATGACAGTTCATTTTAATTAAATTAACGAATTTTATTTAATTAAGTACAATAGGTGCATAATGGACTTACTTTTGTTTCGAACCACCTCGAATATTCTTTAGCATGTCTTTAAGGAACATTGCGCGGATTTTCTCTCTCAAGTTCTACCTTGTGTTTTCTAAACAATTACATTATGTTAATGATACAATTGTATACATGTATTAAGAAATACACTATATATTCATAGAAACTGACAAGATATGACATGCAATGAGTTACTTACTCTTCATATGACAAAACATCTTCACAATTCTGTAAAACGTATAATCGGGCCATCTCTATGTCCGCACGGGGCAATATGTCCAAACTTTGTGCTCCTATCGGTCGAACCACTTGCTTTAGATCATCAAATGTGGACCAATTATTGTTGTAGTTCCCCTCACTATTTCTTTCTTCTCTATTGAACCTTGTCTCAATCCCTCCAAGAAATTTTGAACAAAATGTGAGGCACTCATCGTCCACGTAAGCTTCCGCAATGGACCCTTCCGGACGTGCTTTGTTACGGACGTACAATTTGAGAGTATGCAAAAATCTACATAACCGTTAATCAAACCAATAATATTTAATAACAAACTAATAAAACTTGTTAAAAAAAATGTTGGTTTACTAAAAATATACAGCACCTTTCAATCGGGTACATCCATCGATATTGTGCAGGGCCTGCGATGATGGCTTCACGCGGCAAATGCAAAGCCAAGTGCACCATAATGTCAAAAAATGACGGAGGAAATATCATCTCTAACTTACTTAGTATAACAGCAATGTCCCTTTCCATTGCCTCTAAGACATCCACTTTGACAGTTCGACAACACAATTCCTTGAAGAATAAACCAAGCTCAGCTATTGTGTTACAAATATCTGAATTTAAGAATCCTCGTATAGCAATAGGGAGGAGACGTTGTAAGAGAACGTGTGAATCATGACTTTTCAATCCAGATATCTTACAATTATTAACATTCACACACCGACTTATGTTCGATGCATAGCCAACTGGAAACTTAACTGATTTTAGCCATTCACATAGTTGTCTTTTATTATTCTTTGACAATGTGTAGCGCGCTTGTGGCATCTCAAATTTTTCACCATTACGTCTCAGGTGGAGTTCTTTTCTAATCCCCATTGCTTCTAAATCCAACCGACTTTTGAATGTGTCCTTAGTTTTCCCTTCAATGTCCAATAATGTCCCCAACACACTATCGCATATATTTTTCTCTATATGCATAACATCCAGGTTGTGCCGCAACAAAATGGTCTTCCAGTAAGGTAGTTCAAAGAAAATACTCTTCTTCGTCCAGTTAAGTTCAAATTCCTCATGAATTCGCTTCTTTTTATTTGGCCCCTTTCCGAAACTAACCTCGGGTATGAGGTTAAGTTGTTCTAGAATATCATCACCCGTCAACTGCTTTGGTGGCCCTTTGTCTTCACTTTTGCCATTAAATTGCTTGTGATGGTTTCTGAAAATGTGATCTAACGATAAAAACATACGACTTCCCAAGTAGCATATCTTACGTCCGTGTTTCAAAAAACAAGAACATGTTTCTTTGTTACAATTCGGACATGCTAGATAACCCTTTGTCATCCATCCAGATACCATCGCATATGCGGGAAAATCACTAATGGTCCAAATCATTGCAGCATGCATTTTAAAGTTACATTTACTGTACGCGTCATATGTCATCACACCATCCCGCCACAATTCTTTTAACTCTTCAACCAAAGGTTGCATGTACACATCAATATCATTACCAGGCGATGTTGGACCAGGAATAAGCAACGACATAAATATATATGGCTCCTTCATACATATCCAAGGTGGCAAATTGTAAGGCACAATCATCACAGGCCACATACTATACGCATTGCTCATATTTCCAAATGGATTGAATCCATCAGTTGCTAATCCAACACGAACATTACGAGGATCAGCAGCAAACCAACTATGCTTACTATCAAAATCCTCCCAAGCTTTTGAATCAGCTGGATGTCTTAACTCATTTGTCTTCTTCACACGTTTCTCCTTATGCCACCGCATATCTAAGGCTGTATCCTTTGACATAAACAACCGTTGAAGTCTTGATTTCAATGGGAAGTGCCGGAGAACCTTTTGAGGGATTTTCTTACCCTTACCTTCGTGAGGTTTATACCTCGATTCACCACATTGTGGACAATTTTCTTTACTTGCGTTTTCCCTCCAAAATAGAACACAATCATGTTTACATGCATGTATACAATCATATCCGAGACCCAAGTCTCGTAACAAGCTTTTAGTCTCGTAATGGGACTTTGGTAACACATTATTATCGGGAAGCATATCCTTAAATGCATCAAGCATCATGTCAAATGATTTGTTGCTCATTCAGCTTGTAACCTTCACATGGAACAACTTTAATATCACTAACAACTTAGAGTATTTTTCACAACCTGGCCACAATTCACATTGTGCATCATTTAACAATCTATCAAAGCTTCCTCCTCCAACATCAACTTCAGGCGAATCTTCTTGTTGTGGTGCATTAGTGAAGTTTCCCATTTGTATGTTATCCAACAATTCAAACACATTATCTACATTTTCATCTTCATCGTGGACATTTTCCCTACTGACATTAGCATCAATATTAACATTATTGTTGCTTTGACGAGCCTCCCCATGATATATCCAATTGGTATACCTCTTGTCCATCCCATTTCTCAAGAGATGCTGCTTAACTTCTTCAATTTGATGATAAGTCCTATTTTTGCAACGACGACATGGACATCGGGACCTACCATCTACTTCTGCATGACGCCTAGCCACATCAATGAAGTCATGTATGCCATCAAAATACTTTACACTTCCCCTAGTGTGATGATGAATCCAAGACTTATCCATGTAACTGCTTAAATGTACACAAAAAAAATAAAAAAAAATAAAAAAAAAAAGAAAAAAAAAGAACATATATCCATCAAGAGTTAATAAAGAATATATATATATATATATATATATATATATATGTATGTATATATATATATGTATGTATATAAGTGTGTGGAGCCCATCATGGAAGGAACAATGAATAAGTGTAAGAATCGTCTTATCATTTCTTTAAAAAAGAACCAAAAAAAAAAAAAAAGAGTGAAATACAGTTAAAGAAAATTGAAAGACATAGTAATTAAGAAATGGAGTTTCTTCATACTCTGTTGGTTCACTGCCATGGTCACATGGCATTAGTATTATAGACACTGGTAGGTATAATTTCCTAGATCTATCTTCTGACCCAATGAAAAGAGGATGATAGAGGAAGATTCAGATGCACTTTAGATGTTTCAGGTGTATGCAGGTTGTATAGACATAGATGTCTTTCTGGATATTCATGAAATTGGGGAACCCTTAACTCTAATTAGAGATGAGGGTGTTAAAGAAATGGAGGTGTAGATCTTGGAAGTTGTGTAGATGATAAGGGTTTCCAGAATGGGAGCGCACATAATAGAATTTCCCTGTAATTCTATTGGTTTTTTTGATAATTGAAATTTGTTAAAGTATTTTTTCGCTGTATTTTTATTTTTATTTGGTTAACTGTTTCATTATTAATTTGAGTTCATGTAATGATGGTATTGGATAACATTAGATGGATATAAAATGAGTGATGGAATGGAGATTTAAATCTTTATTCAATATGAATATATGATTGATTCTATTCTAGGTTGTATAACAGTGGAAAAGAGTAATCATGTCATTTTTTGTTTTGTTTTTACTTCTTCAGTTTCAATGACATCTTCTCTGGCAACCTCTCCTAATATTTCTGAGAAATTAATGGTCATTTGGAGGCTTGGGATGAAAAGAAGGTCGAGTAACTCCATCACAGAAATGTTTCCTTCCCTTCCTTGTCGGCATGCCAAACTTGTAAATTTTGATTCTACTTATTCCCCATTAAATATTTAGTCTTATTTATATTGTATCTTTTTTGGAGGCTTGAGAAGGGATTCATCAGCTCCAAATATTCAAATTTGGGGCAGTAGTTAGCAAATTATTTATAGCCTTCTCACCATGGCTTTGGGTAAGTCTTAAGATAATTAATTTCTAATTTGTTTATGGTATACTGTAGACAAATACGGTTTTGGTTTACTGTAGTCAGTCTTATTTGTTTAATTCAAAACTTGTTAAACAAGGGGCGAAAAAGACTTCTACCACTGCACTACAAACTGACTTAAAATCTTCTACAACATTGCAAGATTACAATTCAAACAATGGAAAAAAATTGTCCAGTAAATAGGAGAACACCAACAGCCAAAAACTAAGAGAAGCAATTTTAATGACTAGTGCTGTTATTTTAACCAAAATCTGGAGTAAATCGGAGAAGAGCAGAAGCAAAAAAAATAATAATAATAATAATAATATAAAGGATAGCAACTTCTTATTCTTCTGCAAACGCTAGCCCGGTCCAATTTAGTTTTATCTCTCCCTGTTTAAGCTATGTTTTTCTTCCTATCTCCCTGCTCAATCTCTTGAACTAGGCACATCGTCAAAATCAGAAAATATGGTTGTTGAAACAGAGTTTGTTGAAAATTTGTAGTGATAAATCCTATTTAAACTCCATTAATCCAACCATAAAATCAGAAAGAAAGAAAAAAAAAAATTAATAGCTCAGTTAAAATTTGGTGAAACATGACCAAGAAATCTGAAACTTAAAAGCTCTTGGGTTGATCAAAGCTGGCCCAAGTTTTTAAAAATTCAGTTTTCAAATTTGGTCCAAATGTGAATGACTAATTTAAGCCAAAGATAAAATTGGCTTTTGAATTCCAAAATAAAACCCTTTGTGACGGGTAATCTACATAATGTTATTAAACATTGCAACGAAAAAATAAATTATCTTTCTGCGAATTGTAATTAAACAATCAACCATATAACGAAATTTTCAAAATAAAAATCCAATTCTGCCAGCCACGAAAACAAACTTGACAATCAATATATCATTTGTTTTTCCTTTCTTTCAATTTCTCATTTTCAAACTGTGGGGGCATGAGCAATAAAACTTTTCAGCTCAATCACTTTCTCTGTTTTTACTTTCCCAATCTCAATGTAAGAACAAACAGAAAGCCTATTTCAACTATATCTCAAGAAATATATAAGGAACACATAACAAAATATATAAGGAACACATCACAGAATATATAAGGGTTTAGATTACCTCCTGATTCTGATAGCTGGCCTCCTCCAAGCCTGAGATTCACTTCTGCAAACCTGATCATCACAAGGAAAGAAGTCATCAAACAAAAGATAGAGCAAGGATAGAAGCAACATGCTGCAACTAATTAATGTGGCATTTGGATGTTCATGAAAACTAAGGATGCTTGATTGTTTCTGGCCAACATAGTTCAAAAAAGATTTTCTTCCTACCTGAACTCACAGTTGTAAAAATGTGGGGAGAACTAGTATGACAAACAATGACAATACAGCATGCGAAAATTTTATTCTGCTTAAAGTCATACCACCTAGCATTACAAAGTCATTCTGAGTCCTTGAAGGACCGAATACTATCTTCATCTTCCATCCTTGCTTGCTTAATTTTAGAAGTTACACTAATAAATATGCAAAACAAACGAGCACAGACCTAACCTAGAAAGATAACTATACTACATCAAGTCTGCTTCAACCTAATCTTATTAATGACTATGGTGCTCTACCAAGCATCAACTAATTGAATTGGTGTGAGCAAATACCTCCTCAATTTAAATGTTGATGCATATATGTCTTTCTATATACAATTTTAAATTTTTATAGTTTGTGATGCATGTTACATAAATCACTTGAATATAAATATGTGCCGGATCAATGGACTCATATTTTTTTCTAATAAAATACTAGAGCACAGAAGAATGATATAGATGGGGTAATTCTATTTTTTTTTTTATTAAATTTATTATTTAGTATAAGTGTGACCTCTTCATTTCACTTATTTCTTTGTCTTTTAACTTCATTTCAATTCTATCTTGACCTAATGTAGTTTTACGTTTAATGGCATGGTCAGGAAGTTGATAGCCCATATCCTAAAATGTTGATAAATCTACAAATCTCCTAAGAAGAATTCATAACAGAAGTTTTATTTTTCAATTTGTGTTGGATATTTCGGAGGGGGAAAGGGCACATATTGATAGTTCCCTTCAACGTCCTGCATTGGAACATCTCAGCAATTTTTTTTTGGCGAAGTAGGTATTGAATATATGAAACATAAAAAGATTAAACGGAATAAAATAAAATTAAAAAAAAAAAGAAAAAAAAAAGAAAAAGAAAAAATAAGAAAAGAAATTGGCAGTTGCAAGTTCAGAAGCACTACATACCAGAAGTCGGCCGATTCCTTTCCCAGCCAATATCTCTGGTGAAGTCAGCACAAACTTTTCAGCAATAAGTGCACAACATGAACATTCCTGCATTTGCAGATCAGCATGTTCATCCAACTAAACTAGAGACAGAAAATGTACTGGTCGGTATAAAAATTTAAACTAGGTATATGCATATACATACGTGTAAGAATTAAACTTTCTCCAATTAAATTAGTTAAAATATATTTTACCTTTTAAAAAAAATAATAAATAGAAAAACAATAAAAGACAGATTATGCACATCTTTTAAATAATATTTCAAACATTTTCATAGAGAAGATATATATATAATACCCGCCAATATTATAATATCACACTACTTTAAAATTTTCAAACAGCAATTCTAAAAATCAAACTTCTATAACTTATTGGGAATAATATAATAGACATAGAGTAACAGTTGAAGCAAAGGGGCAACAGCTAAATCAAGGCTGGCATGCACAATTCTGCTTGATAATCAACAATTGAAGCAGAAAAAAATAGAAGAATAAAAAAACAAATTAAAAAAAAAAAAAGAAGGAAGAGAGAGAGAGCATGGAAAACCTGTTGAAATCCCTAATTTCCTTGTTCCTAGCTTTATAAAACCAACTTGGTGGGGTTCTTTTTTCTAGAATGACCATTATGCATTATGCATTTTATATATTCCCTTGGAATATTAAGAACTTTAGAAAATCAACAATCTTCCTAGAACTTTAATAATGAAATTTTTTTTGCTACATTGATTACGCAAACTGTGCAACACAAAAGCCGATGTATAAAAGATACCATATAAGATCAAAGAGATAAAACAGAGGAGATTATACATAGATACATATATATACATCGATATGTACGTATACACAACCGTATTATATCCAAATACCTATTATCATAATTTAAGTTAAATAGAACCCAGAATTCAAATTTTGTCAAAGTGATTTCACAGTGTAATAAGCACATAACGAGTTTTTTAACAAGCACATAACAAATTGAACTTGTTATATCTCAAACCTGTATTTCCCACAGCGATTCACACTCAGACTACAAGCTGACTCCAGATTGTAATTTACCCTTTCGATTGTTAGGCCTTTTGCAATTTTCTAACCCTACAACATGTATTTGCAGAAAAAATAAATAAAAACTAGGGTGAGGATCATGAAATCGATGTGGGTTATATGAATGACAAATCGAAGATGGGGTTCTCTGAAAATCGAAGAAAAAGGCATAATCCCTAAAATTTTGAAAGAAAAAAAAATGTTATACCTCAAGATTAAAAGTCTCTGGATATCACCTAAACGCGTCCCTTACATCTTGAATCTTCTAACAGTTGCGCCTGTAAGTGTCAGTGTCGCGGGATTTCTTTCCAAAAGTCCAAGAGTTTAGATCGATGTGGCTGTCGGAACGATTGGGTGAGAGTGGAAGAGAGCGTGAGGGCTTGAGAGTGAAAATAGTGGAAGAGGCGTGAGGATGAGGATGGAAGAGGCGTGAGAACTGAAGACTTTAGGTAAATAGATGTTAAACGACATAGTTTGATGGAAATAAATTAATTTTATATATTATATTTTAATTCTTACAAAAGCGGCAAACAATAGATGAAGGCTAAATTTTGCCGCTTTATTTTTTTGTGGAATTGGGGACGGGCTGTTTATGGTTTTAGGGACAGTTTTGTAGTCCGTGCCAAAAAATAATGTTTTAAGCACAGTTTTAAAGTCTTTAGGGACAGTTTTAAAGACTGTGCCAAAAAACCATGTTTTAGGGACAGTTTTTAAAGACTGTCCCTAAAAAAGCATGTTTTAGGGACAGTTTTCAAGACTGTCCCTAAAGGACTGTTACTAAAACTCATATTTCTTGTAGTGCAGGCTTAGAGCTTGATCATGTTGATGCAGATACAGACAATCACTCTTCCGATAACATAGGATATCCTAGCTATTTTAATTTTGGATTTTAATTCTGTAAATTTATACAAGGTTTTGGGATTAGGGGTCCACTAGGTGGATTTCCGAGTTGTACGGTTTTAAATTATACTTAATTTATTATTTCAAGTTTGAGGATTCTTATTTTATATTTCTTCCAGCGTTTTATTAATTTATTTTTAATTCAGTTTTTATTTTTTGCTTGTTTACATATTAATTGTTTGGTATCCCTCGGATCTGTGCTCGGACTTGATCACCCATAGCTCTAGAATCGAGGGGTATCACAAAGTTCTATATCGATCCCGATACACCTTCAGAAGTGCCCATCCCAGGCCATCCGTCTACACAAGAGTTTAAATCTACAAAAATAAAAGAAGTATTGAGTGACCTGTTAGATGTTTCAGTGACAGACGTTGTAAAGGTAGCTAAAACACAAGGGGTCTTGATAAAAGCACATCGGACGAAACGTATTTTAAAGTATGTTCCAAAAGCTCAAGGACAAGAAGGGCAGTCACCTGTCATTGAGATACTTGAAACCAATGAATTTAAATTGAAGATGTCACAAACCAAGGAAAAAGAAGATCTGCAAAAGCTGCAAGGAGAGTTAACCCTTCCTCTCACTAAGATTCAAAAATCTTCATCTTCTAAGCCTTCGTTAAAAGGGTTCATGCGGCCTTTTCAATCTCTGGTCGAATATGGATCACTTCCAAAACAAATGACTGATAAAGGATTCGACCCTAAAGCATACCAACTCTTAGCTAAGGAAGGGTATGATTTTACAAATCCTACAGGCCTTGGAAAATTGAATTCTGAACTCACCGGTAAGAAAGTGCATGGCCTCAATGAGACACAGAAGAAGTTGAAGGAACAAGGGCATAAGATCATTCCACCCAAGACTGGTCTTGGTTTCGCAGCATCTGAACCACTTCGAATTCAAATTACAAAAAATGATAAGAAGTTAAACACTTTATACATTTGGTTTGAAGAAGTTGACGATGAACAAGATCAGCAGACTATGCATCAAAAATTAGTCTTTGACCGTATAGGAGCTCCATGTACTCGAACATCTGTATTCAATAAGTTGTCGAGCCAAGAATCAAATGTCTCAAGTTTTCATGTCAACAGTTTGCCTCGTACCTCTATTTTTAACAAAATGAGCTTTCATGACCAAGGAAGAAAATCTCCACAACCTCAATCTCGAAAATCAGTATTTTTTCGAATTGGTACTATTAATGATGCACCGCTAAGAAGCAGCAAGAGTGGAAAGTTAGAGGAAGCTAACATTGACGTGGTGAACAATAGTGAAGTTCAAAGCTTGGTGCCCTCACGAATGAAACATAAGACAGAGGTAGATATCACTAATGATGTTACACTAAAAGCTTGAAGGCAAACCATTGTATTCACTAATTAATCAAAAGAAGTGGATAGAACAGAAGACACTGGCGAATCATCATGTGTTACTTCATACCACACCACTGTTGAAGAAGAACCTGACTCTGAACAACTAGATGAAATCGAGAAAGGTCCACCAACACTAGAAGACGGGGGGCAGGCTACTGTTGACCAACTCAAGGAAATCAACTTAGGGACTGATGATCAACCCAAACCAGTTTTTGTTAGTGTATTCCTAAACCCCTCAGAAGAAAATGATCACTTTCAATTATTGTCTGAGTACAAAGATGTTTTTGCTTGGACATACAAAGGAATGCCTAATCTTGACCTTAAAATTGCAGTGCACAATCTTGCTGTCAAACATGGGACTCGTCCGATTAAGTAGTATCAACGTTTCTTCCGTTTAAAGCTAGTTCCGAGGATAGAGGAAGAACTCAACAAATTAATTGAAGTAGGGTTCATCCGAGAGGTCAAATATCCGACAAGGATTTCGAGCATTGTTCTAGTAAAGAAGAAAAATGGACAGATTCAAATCTGTGTGGACTTTCGGGAGTTGAATGAGGCATGCCCAAAAGATGATTTTCCTCTTCCCATCCCCGAGCTCACTGTAGATGCAACTACGGGGCATGAAGCTCTCTCGTTCATGGATTGTTACTCCGGGTACAATCAGATAAGAATGACTCCGAAAGATGAGGAACTAACTGCCTTTCACACTCCTAAAGGCATACTGCTACAAAGTTATGCCCTTCGGATTCAAAAATGCAAAAGTAACATACCAGCGAGCCATGCAAAGGATCTTCGACGACATACTCCATAAGATTGTTGAATGTTATGTTGATGACTAGGTAGTTAAAATGAAAGAACGAAGAAATCATTTACAGAATCTACGTACAGTTTTTAATCACCTCCGAAAATATCAGCTCAAGATGAATCCCCTTAAATATACATTTGGTGTGACTTCAGGGAAATTCCTGGGATACGTCGTACGTTATCGTGGTATTGAGATTGATCCTAATAAAGTTGAGGCCATTCAAAAGATGCCGCCACCAAATAATTTACATGAACTTTGAAGTTTACAAGGTCAACTTGCGTTCATTCGTCGGTTCATCTTAAATTTAGCTGGTCGTTGTTAGCCTTTTAACTGACTCTTGAAGAAAGGCGCCCCATTCAACTGGGACCAATCTTGCCAAAATACTTTTGATAGCATCAAAAAGTACCTTCTCAATTCTCCGGTATTAGGAGCACCTGTACTTGGAAAACCACTCATACTTTACATTGCTATGCAAATCGTTGGGCGCCCTACTTGCTCAAAATAATGAAGAACATAAAGAGAAAGTGTGATACCCCCGGATTTCTAGATGCGGGTTGGCCAGGCTCATGCCCGATTACTCGAGGATATCAAACCAATTAGCAATAATCGAATACAGAATACAGTTAAGGAAACAGGAATAAATAAAACTGCTGAAAAGAAACTAGAATGATAATCTAAAACTGAAAACCTCAAAATAAAATTTTAAATTAATAAAGAATTATTCTGATACATCCAAATTCTCCATTTCTAATACAACTCGAGAATCCATCTGGTGGACCCCTAAAAACTCCAACACTGAAATCATCAACTAAAGAACTCCACTGCTAAATCATGAAGAAGCTCCTACTTCGTCGGAAGAATGAGAAGCCGTCTCTGCTCAGCACGAACAAGATCTAAGACCTGGAACCGTCCATTACCTAAAAAATAATAATGGGTCAGGCCCACGAACAAGTTCTATCCTAATTACAATCCAAACAGAGACCCAATACGCAGATACATACTAGATGTCTCTACCATTTCTATATAGTCCGTAATAGATAAATATATATCCACACTACAGTACTCTCACTAAACTATGCTGAGGGTCTCAACCTGAATAGAAGGCAACATGCAATACGCACCTGAGTGGGCATGACTACCTAAGCCTAACATGGTATACCTCAACCAACATAGCTAGCTACGCATCCTACTGCATATACGCACCCTAATCGTCGACTATGAGACTCAAGCTCAGATCGCGGTACCATAATAATATATTTAAAATCCATTCATATCCATCCATAGGAAATCCAATAAATCGTTCAGCTTTTTCAACTGCACAGACTTATATAAGAGATCCCATAAGTCGTTCAGCTTATTTAACCGCATAGACTTAAACATAAGGAGAATTATGTTTTTATAATTCGTACCCTTATTCCAAAATAGGTAAGACTGAGTATTTTGAATCAGTCTGTCCCTAGTATGCCACTGTCCGATACCGGTGCATATAATCCACAAAATCCATATAATTGATAGAACAGGTAAAACTGTTCACCAATTAAAATTCATAAGGTAGGAATTAGCGTTTTGAGCTAAACCATACCTAGTATATCACCGTCCCATACCGGTATATACAATCCTCCATATCCATGTAAATTACAACATAAAAATAATAAGCAAGTAATTTACAGTCCAAAACCAAATATCCATATCATTACAGAAAAGTGATTAAAGTTTCGGCAATTTAAATCCAAGATCCAAACCATGTAATTGCAAGAAATGGTTTAATAGTTCAACAACTAGCATCCAGAGCATACATAGATCAGTTTTAATAAATCAACAACTCTATTATGCATTTAAATAAGTTTTATAATCATGTTATAGTCCAACAATTGCTAAATTAATTTAAGCAATTTAGTTCCTTCCATCCGGTAACAGCATACTAAATTCTATACTCGTATTCTATTTTATCC